TCCCTTTCAAGAAAAACAGCTGGACCTCACTTCTTTCCAGTTGCTGTTTTGGAGTAGTTTGCATAGCACCGTTACCATAAAATACCATCTTAGAAATACTGCTGTAGAACAGCATTTCCAGACAGGACATGACTAAAAACAACTCCAAGCTACTGAGGATAAAAGAGTGATTTCCAAAGCTGCTTACTGCAAGCACAAAGCAGCTAGAGAATGATGGGTCAAGGAGCCTGGAGAGAAAGGACAGTTGACTCGTACCTGCAGAATAAACATCACTGCACTTAACACATCTCTGCACCTGCCAGTAACGTGGCCAAAGTTCCAGAAATGCTTTTGGAAGCTTCATAATCAGAAAGTAACCACATATGATTTAAATATATTTTAAAGGTACCACCTGACTGTACAGACACATGAAGCTGTATGTTATACCACGATAACTTCAGTCCTCCTTGCCTGTATCATTCCTGCTGTTTGTTACATGGAAAACTATTGCATCCAGATTAAAAATGAACAAACAAACAAAAAACAACCAAAAATAAGTAACCCCAACCCAAAAAACATCAGAGAAAACATCTCTACCTGATTGGTAAAATGACTTCTAGTGTTTTGTGTACAGACAAACTGCAAAATTATTAAATCAGGAATGAAATTATAAAGGATTGCACATGAAGTACTTTGATCAACAGATCAGACAGATTGAAAGAATCATTTGAACTGAAAACCACAAATAAAGCTCCAGATGAAGCTCACCGACTGGCATAATACATGATACTAAACAACAGAAGAGTCAATCAGCAAATTAAATTAACAGATGAAACAGTGGACTCTCTTTCACTTGAGTTAAAAGCCACACAGCAAGTCAAAGCCTTAGCACAGAGTTAACACGGAGCCTACAGCAGTAGATGGCCAGCCCTGACAAGTTCCCCAAGCACACAGCAGAAAGCATGAGAAATGCTAGCACAAATTTATTTGGAGTTACAGTCTAAGCACAGTGCAAGTTTACTTTTATTAATCTAGTAAATTATGGCAATTCATTAGAGATCAGTTCCCTTTCAGTAAAATATAGAGTACTGGCAGACTAACAGCAAACATAGTACATGTCAGTGCAGTGCTGTAAATAGAATTTCTCTTGATTTGTGATTCCAGTCTCCGCTCTGTATCACACAACTCTAAAATCACATCTCTCACAGCAGCAGCCTGGCCCTTACTCTCCCCAGAGGACCTGGCTGTTACTCTTTCCACAGGTCTAGAATGAACCGCAAGTTTAACACTCTGCACTTCAGAAATGACTTGTGCTATACTTTCCTGAAGATGGGTAAACTGCTGCTGTAAACTCCCGAGACATGAACTGACTTGTTTAGTGTAGTTAAGCTGTTCTTTTAGAGGAATTAAAAGAGAATCTATTTTTATGGAGTCACTCTTGTCTTCTCTTGCCAATAAAACACCTTCTTTTATTCCCTGCGACGTCCTTGTTTGCAGAATGTTTTTCAGGTCTGCTATGACATCGCTGAGATCCTTCTGCTGCAAGTCATAGGTGGATGCCTGTTCTTTGATGGCTTCTTGCAGATTTATTGGGCCCTTCTGTGCTTCGAGCACCAAGACTTTCAGTTCCTGCAGCCTTACTCGATTAACGTAGGTGGAACCAAGAACACCTATAATGGCTCCCAGTACAGAACCAATAATAGACCAGTTCTTTGTTTTTTCAGCTCTTGTCCTCTCTTTCTCGTGGCTCTCCCTTACAGCAGCGGAGAAGAGAGAAAATTTTTCTCGCTCAGATTCTTCTGCATTTAAGTAGGCAGCTCGGTACCTCTTCTCTTCCTGCAAGAAACACAGCACTTTGAAAGAAAAGCTACACCATTTTATAACTTCAGATTATAAAAAAAGAAAAAAGTGCATCCATCAGTTGTTTCAGAAATTGTTTTGTAGATTTTTCCTTTAAATGTATGATTTTCTTTATTAATCCTACTTAAATTGGTGAGACATCATTTTAAGTCAAAGCTAAGAAATGGAAAAGATCATCAACAATTACATTTGAAGACTGTCTAAATCATAATCTGTCACATGGTGATGATAGAAAAGTGCTATGAACATACAGGTTTTCTCTCCCCATAAAGAAAGCTTTCTCTGGCTCTCTGTACTTCTCCAAACACCACCTCTACCCCACTTCTTCATCTCAGTTGTAATTCCCTTAAAACAGGAACTGAAAACAGTTCTGAAAAGGATGTCCTGGAAAGGCTTGTCTCGTGATCACATACACTTTTCACTCCTCTGCCTTCTCTTTCTTCCCCTGTTTAAAGACATACATCTTCCTTTTCTGCCCCTCCTGGCTTTGGTGTGGCAGTTCCTTTTGTAGGCCAGTTTATCTCAGCAAAACAGTGGAAACTTTATGGTTATTTTCCTGCAGTAAAATTCTGTAATTTTAGCAAAGGAAGAAGTGTTTTTGATAGTGAACCTGTCTGTCAATTGACTGCATTCCCCAAACTATCTCAGTCTTTTGAGCATGTATTTCTTTTGTAAGGCAGCAGTACCACCATACAGTGATGACTTTAGTTCTATCTTTCTCCACAGTGATGCACAGCTCTCTTCTTGAAATCTCATCTACACAGACCTGATCTGTTTTTTGGACAGCTCTTTTTAGTTCTTTGCTGCTGCTCTGCTTATTGACTCAGAAGATCCATTTAAGCTCAGGCATAGCTATTAACTACTTGCCCAAGCTTTGCCATAGATGTGCCAGTTTCCAGGCCTGTTTCCTGCAGTTTCACCTGGATCTCTGGCTTGAGTTTAGCTGCTACCATGCCTTTATCTGTGACTGATGGACTGTGGATGACTGTGCTCCTACTGTCAGCCCTGCTTGGCTCCTTCTGATGAGGTGCAGGAGGACTGCACTCTGTTGGTGCAGAACACTGCCCCTGCCTGTGCTGCGGTCCCCCTCATTTTCTTGCTTGTTCTCCTTCATGGAGCAGTCTTGCCCTTACTGCTCTCTGACAAAAGCCTTAGTAAACTATGTGGGGGCTGCAGCCAGGTGAAAGGGGAATGGCTTTGATGGCTTAACAACTGGAAATGCACTTCTCTTATGACATGGAAACTAATTGCTTGAATCCCATCTTTTTTTTTTTTTTTCCATGCACCTGTCACCATTCAGACAATGTTCTAAGTTTTTCAGCTTTTGTCTCCAAATGCACTACCCTGTTGAAGATAAACATGATTTCCACATGAGATCAAGTCACCCACATTGCTTCAATTAAAACAAGTATCATAAAAATTAACTTACTGTACTTATATACTAAAGCACGTCTGCAGAACCAGTCACTAGTGACAGAAACAAAGCACATATGTTTTCTTTGTGTTTGCCAGCACTCAGATCAGGAAATTACCTGCAGCAATCTGTGTTCCAGTGTAGCCAATTCTAAATACTGGGTGTCATCCCGAGAGACCCTGTCCAGGCGGTCCCGGACTTCCTTCAGCTTTATCTGCTGGGCTTCTACATTTTCACGAGCCTGTCGTACTATCCCTCGAGCTATCATAAAGACATTTTCAGCCTGGGAAGAGAGATTATTTTAGAGCCTTATTAACAGATAGATGTAAACTGTTAGTCATATGATTTCAGGGAGGAAAATAAAAGCAACACAATTCATCACAATATAGGGGATACACGACGTGTACTGAGCTTACTAGACTAGAACTCTGTCAGAGTATCTGCACAGCCAGTTAAAGCAGAAAAAAAAGACACAGTTCTATTTGGAGGCCCTCTTCAGCCTCACAGTCAGTCTTCCTAATGACATAAGTCATAATTCCAATTTTATTTTTTTACATTATCTCCACATTTACCTCTGTTACTTTTCCCTGAGCCTCCCGAACTTCATTGAGCCCAACGAACTCTTCGTATTTGTCCCACCAGTTCTTGCCAGTTGCAGATATTTTCTGCAGGGAGTTTTTCCCCACAGCAGCCCCAGCTTCTGCCACCCGGTTCAGAATGCCCACAGCAGTTTCTATGGCTGATTTGGTTTCGGGCCTCTTTGGTCCGGATGCACAGTAAGTCCTCACTAAGTGTACATTCATTTTTTGACTCCGCTTTATCAAACAATGGTGATACTGCAACCCACAGGACACCGATGACACACTTGATTTATACTTCATTGGCCCCATGTCTTGTACTCAATCACCGAAGAAAAGTGCTGCAAGAAAAAGAAAAACGTTATTAAACTAAGACTGGTAAATGCCTCTTAAAATTAAACATGCATGCCAAAAAAAACAATACAATTCAAGGATGGATAAACCATTGCTAGTTTTGCACCATTACTTACACAGGAAACTTTCCAGTTTTCAGCAAAGGACGGCTGTACCACAGATCCCCGCTTTTCTGCTGTTATTAAGTACTTCTGCCATACTTCTTGATTAACTCACTGCATAGTGACTGTGTGCAGATACCAGCAGGAGTAGCTGCAGAGTAACGTAAGTCTTCGGCACAGACGACCGCCATATGAAAGCTTGCTTTGAGCTTTCACATTTGAGTTTGGCATACAATATCACAGGTGCTAACAATCCTGGAAAAGAACAGAAAAAGAAATGATAAAGAGGCATTAAAAAAGAAAAAGCTTGAAAAGGGAAAGAAATGGGCTTTCATCATTCCCTGTGCCTCACACTCCACAGACTTCCAAATCACTGAAGAGTAGAAAGGCAAATATATAACGGACAGAGAGAAAACACGGCAGTTCTAAACTGAACATGGGTCTTTCTGGGAACCTTCCTGCAAAACTGAGCCACGAAGAGGAGCCAAATGCTCATACAGACATCAGGGAGTGAATGCATCATTATGGCTGAGTTTTAAAATGAGTTTTAAAATCCTTGCTTACCCTGCAGAAACAACACTTGCTGCTGCTTAACACCAGTGCTGACGTGCAAGGAAAATTTTTATTTTCTGCTTAGCACATTCCTCTGAAGACTGCATAAACAGGCAAAATTCCACTGACGCTTGATGAAGCCTCAATTAATTTTTATAAAGTATGGGTAAGGCTAGGCCAGGATTTGACCAGAACAATATTATAAACCCACAGCATACAGGAAACCTCGAACACTGCTGCAGTTGTTCTGCTTTGTTTATTTGGCAACGGTTACCCGTGCTGACTTTAGCCGGCTGTGTGCAAACACAAAAGGCTTCCCCAGTGGAAGACATTTGCGATGAGATTTTTTTAACCTGGCTCCTCACCCTGAAGGCCCACTTGTATCAGGTGAGGCACACGCAGCACGGAGCAGCAGCAGCCACCAGCTCCGTGACGGCCCCACCACTCGATTATAGACAAAGCGATGCAACTCATCGCGCCCACATGACGGAGCCGCGCTGTTCTCTCGGCCGCGCCCCGACATCGCCGCGTCGTGCAGCGCGAGGAAAACGCGCTTCCCCGCCCCGAGGGCAGCGCTCCGCCAGGACGTTCGCTCCGCGCTACCGCCGGTGCGGACGAGCCCGGCCGCGGGGCCCTACCTGGCGTGGCAGCAGCCTCCGGGCAACCCCTCACACAACGCCCTCCCTCGCGCCTGCCCGCAGGGTCGAGGAGCGGCGCCGGAAGCGGAAGTAGCGGTTCAGGAAGCGCTACGGCGGAAGTGCTACGGCGGCCGCGTGGGGTCAGACGGAAGCGGTGCGGAGCGGAGCGGTGCTGGCATCATGTCGGGCCGAGAGGGTAAGGCCGGGCCCGGGGGCTGCAGGCGCCGGTTGTGCCGCCTTCTCGCTTCTCACCGCCCCCTCTCTTTGCAGGCGGCAAGAAGAAGCCGCTAAAGCAGCCGAAGAAGCAGACGAAGGACCTGGATGAGGTAGGGCGGTGGGGGGGGCGAGGCGAGGCGAGCATCTTTCCTCAGAGGAGCTCCTGCAGCGCCTCGGCGTGCGTGGGATGCGGGGACGGGCACGGAAACCGTGGGCGATCCGCTAAGGGAATGCGTTGGAGATTGTCCTGAGCCTCCTGCTGCGGATCCCCGGGTATGAGGGCTCAGAGTGGAGGTGTAAGCTGTGATTGAAAAAGAAAAACGTGAATTGGATTGGTGAGCAATGTCAGAATCCTGAGTGCTGAGGAGAACTCCTATAATCCCTTTCAGCGGTGTTGCCTATGAAGAGTATGTATGGAAGAGACAGAGCAAGTCTGAGCTCTCTTGAATTCTAGAGGATGTTCTAGCAGGGACGTGCAGTGGCTGCTTTGCCTGTGCGGTTTGCCAGCAGCCTTATTGTATTTCTCAGAATTAATACAAATGCATTAAAAAGTGAATAGTAGTGATGTGTATGGAAAGATTTTTAAGTTACGCTTTTTTAGGTAAAAGCAAGCTTTGTTTCTTGTGTCCTAAGTAGTCCAAGATTTATTGTGTTTTTGCGCTAGATTCACAGTAGCAGTGGGAATTAAAGGTTTTAATGCAGACATCATTCAGAGGGCAGAATGAGATGATGTTATGGGAGGTGATACTTTCTTAATTTTAGAAAAATCAAACACACAAAGTGAAAGTTTGGTCAATTTCTGTGTTGTGGTGCAGCACAAATAAAGCCCCAAACAATACTCTTTGTCATTGTTCTGGGAGGTTTTGCTTATTTACTAGCACTGAGCCATCTTGCATCAGTTTAGTCTGTTAGGTTTTGATTGCTGTTGGAACATAATTCCAGTATTTGAAGGGAGCATATAAACAGGAAGGGGAACAGCTGTTTATGAGGGTGGATAGTGATAGGACTATCTAAGGGGGGATGATTTTAAACTGAGACAGAGGAGACTTACATTAAATATTAGGAGGAAGTTTTTCACACAGAGGGTGCTGGCACACTGGAACAGGTTGCCCAAGGAGGCTGTGGATGCTCCATCCCTGGAGGCATTCAAGGCCAGGCTGGATGTGGCTCTGGGCAGCCTGGTCTGCTGGTTGGTGACCCTGCACATAGCAGGGGGTTTAAACTAGATGGTCATTGTTGTCCTTTTCAACCCAGGCCATTCTGTGATTCTATGATTCTATGATAATATTTTTTTCTCATTGCTTTCAGTTGTTTTCCAACTTCTCTGAGGCAGGAGATGTTAACACACTGTTGTTCTTTTCTTTAGACAGATCTGGCATTTAAACAAAAGCAGAAGGAGGAGCAAAAGAAACTTGAGGAGATGAAAGCAAAGGCTGCTGGAAAAGGGCCCCTCAGTAAGTGAGGTGCCATGCTGACAGGAAAAATTGAGTGGCTTGCTGGCTTCAAAAGTTTAATGTTTTTGCTTGACAAACATAAAAAGAGCTGTACCTGTAAATTATTCAGCACACACTGGGAGGCTGATGGCAGCTGTAGATGATAAGTAACAAATAGAGGTTATTTTTTAAAATTATTATTATTTTTACTGTGCAATTTAATGTCCAAATTACTGGTACAGTTTATATTTTAAGAGGTGTAACTGCATGCCAGGTGTGATAAGCTGTTCTAGTGGGATGGTGCAGAGAGATTTCTGCTCTTATTTTAGCATACCATCTTTTGCTTTCCAGGTGTATTAAGAAATACAGGCTTTGCCACAATTGTGAAATTTTAACAAATTCATTACTTGCTATCTTAGAGGGTGAAATTCAAGAGCAGAAGATTCATGACAGAAGGGGGGAAAAAAACCTCACAAAAAAAAAATCCTGTGACTGGAAATAAGACTGGTTTCAGTGCTCTTGCTTAAGTGAATTTAAAGTATGCTCTGTCAACAAAGCTGTCTGACAGCTTCTTATCAAGAAGAAACTTTGCAGGCTGCATTGTGATGGTTCATCCAGCCTGCTCTATATTTCAAATGATGGCAGTAGGAAATACTTTTAATACTGACTGTCCACTCAACCCTGTCATTAACAGAAGTCTTACCAACTTTCACAAGACTACATTTATCCATTTTTGCCTTTATTATAGACTGTTATCTTGCCAGAGATCGAGGTTAGACTCTCAGGTTCTCTAGTTTCATCCCAGAACTGTTTCTGCACCTGGGAGTTATGCTGGCAGTGTAGCTGGCAGATCACCAAAATAGAAGAATAAGATACAATAAAGTCCTCTGACACAGTGGCTGTAATGATAAATTACAGATCTTAGCCAGCAGTTTTGCAGCTTCATATGTGAGTTTGTGCTCTTGGGGTAGAATACAATCCAGTCCCACTGACTTGGGTTATTTCTTGTCTGTTTATCTCGAAGGGATCTAGCTGCTCTGATTTATCTGCTTACAAAAAATGTGCTGGGTGTGGGACTTACGGAATGTCTTTGGCATTACAGACATGCAGAAAAATTCCCCGAGCTTTCCTTCTGTCCCAACTACCTTGAACTTTTTCTCTATCAGGCCCTTTGGGTGTGAGTAGCTCTGCACATCTGGATAGCTCTGTCCTGCCATCACCACTCTTCTTTTTATTTGGTTGAATTTCAGTTATCTGGTTCTTGTCCAATGCTTGCAAGAGCTGACAGAGGTTCCGTTGTTGGAGAAGCTAGACTGTGCCTGAGAGCCTCAGCAAGGCAACGCTGTTAGAATCATTATATCACAGTGCAAAGTCTGCTGTTGACTATCAGCCCTTACTGTCATTTTCTGCTTTCCACAGGTCAGCTATGACACGTGTTGTAAAACAAAAGCAAACAGCATTTACAAAAAGTGCTGCACTCAGTGCCACGTTAATATGTTGTTTCTTTCACATTGCTTTACTGTCTTCAGAAATAGGGACTGCAAAGAACAGATGCTCTGGTAATTCCAGTGCCTGCTTCATTGGGGCTCTGGTTGTTGTAGAAATACTGATGCTTTTATTCCTTCAGCCTTAAATTTGATTTGATCAGACTGTTGTATAAGAAGTAATCGACGGAGGAGCAAAGAACTGCTGAAGTACTTTGTGCTCTTGTAAATCTGGGGTGTGTTTAGTTCCAAGAGGGGCTTTGGTTTTCAGCATGAAGTTAAACACGTAAGATCCCAAACAGTACCGCATGCAGTTCACCAGTGGGGATGTGAGTTGCACGGGCAGCCTGTGGGGCTTTCAAAGCTGCAGGAGCTGTGTAACCTGTGGTGTCTGAGCCGTGGTGGTTTGGTTTCTTTTGGCAGCGAGCGGTGGGATAAAGAAGTCTGGCAAAAAGTAGTTCCGAGCTGCAGGATAAGACGCCTTCAACTTACGCAATGGATCCGCAGCCTTCAGAAGACGAGGAGAACCCGCAGCTCTTGGGAAGCACTGTACATTTTGTTTAGTCAGAATAAAACTTTTTTGTTAAGAGGTGATATTTTCTCTCTTTACTGTAGCTTTTTTAAAAAAGGTTAATGTGGATGCTCAGGTTTAGTTGCAGCTGTCCAAGATGGGGTTGTACCGACATACGGGAGCTGGAAGTACCAGAACAAAAGCTCGCCTTTTGCTGCCCGTTCCTGCGCGCCCCCCGGTAGCGCTGCACTCTGGCAGGAGCCGCGCGCCTTGCGGTGCAATGGCGCCGCCGTGCGGTCGCACGCCCTCGCTCGGCGCTATCCTGCGCATGCGCGGTGCCCTGCTGCCGGCCGCCGCGCGTGAGGATGCGCATTGGTTACGTCCGCGCGGCGCTCCTCTCTAGCTGCAGAAGGGCGGCTGGCGCACGCGCAATGCCCCTCTCGCCTTTGGGGGCTGCTGCCCGCACCACTGCGGGCTGAGCGCGAGCGCGGCGCCGCGCATGCGCTGGCTGGTAGCCTATTTTCCCGCCCCGTCGGCTCCCGCCTCGCCCTGAGGTGACCGTTGGCCTTGGGGTGGGCGATGCGCGGTACCCCCTCACAGAGCAGCGCCCACCTCAGAGAAGTAGCTTACACGGCAGCAAAACGCTGGTGGCTGGGCAATGAAAAGCCATCCCGTGCATTTGCAGGCTGGGAAGCACAGATGAACTATCCTGCAAATTCAAAGCAATAGCGGAGGCTGAGCAAGCACAAAGCTGCTAGCAGGTTAGCAAGCTTGCTTCAGATTTTGTTTGAAGGTTCCTCAAAATTTCCTGCAACGCATGAAGAAAATATGGCTGCAAACTTCCAGTGCAGTCATAAGAAAGCATTTCATATTTGCATAGTTCACATGTTTTGAGACTTCTTCACCGCTGCCAGAGATGTCCATTATCTACTTACATGGGATTTAGTTCAGACAGCCCGCAGCTGAAACCAGAGCAAGGCTGTAAAGGTCACAGTAACCTCACACAGCATGACAAGAGGATCCAGGCTGCCCTCAGTGTGTACCACAGTCAAAGCTCCCAAAGCACATTTGCTCCTGCACTAAGATATGGACAAGCTGGTCCAAACCCAACACCAACATTTCACCATTTTCATTATTATTCCCATTCCTCAGTCCAGTACTAGTGAAAATGACTCTTCTAGGAAATGAACACTTCTCTGAAGCTTCACGTTTGCTGCAGAAGAACAGTGGAAGTGAAGCTGTGCGCTAATGAGGGGAACGACCTTCCCTGAGCTGTTTGGTTTCTGTGCTGACATATTTCCCTCTCTCTGGTAGGTAAGCCTTTTTATTTTAGCTGTACCTAAAAAGGGACACACGAGAACTAAAAACACCTGCTGGAAATCACGAGTTCTGAGTATGAAGGCTGGCACAATTAACACCAAACAATTGAAAATGGGTTAGTAAACTCCTGTGAAAGTGAGGAAGAGCTTTGGGAAACAACTCATATAGTAGCAGGCTACTTCATGCAAGGCTACATTATTTATTTTACCTATCTGTTTATTTTGAGCAAAGTAACATTTGCTCTTGCTGATAAGCAAAACCTGAGGTGCACACAAAAGGCACACAAACAGTGCAGAAAAGGAGGTGAAGATGTGGGTACAAGTGTTTGAGAGAGGAGCAGTAAGACTGAGGAAGATGCTTACCAGGGGGAGTCACAGCTGTAGCGATAGCATAAACTTCTGAAATATGCTAAATGACTGTGAGCAGAGCTAGGTGAAAAGAGGGTTGAAATTACAAGTGGAATTCTTTTTTATGCAGGGTAGCTGGTTAAGTAGGTTATTTACATCAGTCATAGGTTGAAATATGGTAGCAGATCCTTAACAGCCCAAGTGCATGCTCACTTTCCTTCAGCATCAAAGTAGGTTTTCTGGGGAAATGGTTAAAATGAGCAGGAAAAGGGAATGGGAGACATCATCAAGATTGGGAAGAGGAATGTGACCTTTGCAGTGTATCAAATAAGCAGTTGTTTGACCCAAGAATTACTAAATGAAATGAATTAGGTTGCTGATCAGAGTAAAGTTACTGAGGTGGTCCAAAGTGAAATAAAGAGTGAACAGAAACATATATTCCACAGCATGAGAAAATACACACAAGTGTTTCACCCAGAAACCAAGGCAAGAGGGAAGGAGACCAAATGGCAAAGTGACAGACTGCTGCTGTGTGAGAGCTGTTCTCAGCAGGCTTCAGTTTAATGCAGACATTGAACTGCCTTTCTGGCCAAGAGTCCTCCTGTGTTTAATATCAGGCTATGGAAATAAAGCTGACAAAGGAGCGCTTTGATTGTATGTTTCTACATAATGCTACATTATGAATGACATTCGTTTCTTAGCACAGCTGCAGCTCAGTGTTAAACTAATGCAAAGACTGTATAGCTCTTAAATCACACACGTACATAAAATTACCCCCAGTGTGAAGGGCAGAGAGAAAACAAAACTCCAAGGCAGTAGGAAATGAATGCAAATGATTAAAATAGTATCAGAATAGATGGAAATATTGTTTATATGGCAGTCTACTAAAGGATGTGATTGCTATAATGAACTCCAGTCATGCTCTAATGATTTAAAGTGTTTTGCTCACTCTTTGGAGTTAGTTCTATGAACATCACACCCTACTCTGAGTCATACCCACTTAATTGATTTATGTGAGGTCTTCAACATGAAACTTCTCTAATATCCCTAAAATGCTTCACTTCTACTCAAATGCGGTTAATTCTGACAAGCAACCCCACGATTGTGTGCACATCTAACAGAGCTGCACAGATAATGACTTAAAAGCATCAAACTTCCACTTCATTTCTACTGTTGTCATACTCAATGCACAAAAAATTTAAGCCCATTTTCTTGAAATTGTGTTATGAGAACTTATCTTTACAGAAGAAAGCTCCTAAAGCACAGGGCAACTACTTTCAACTTAGAATTAAACGTGAGGTGACACAGCATTTGAAAAACCCCTCCTGGGATCAGAATAATCAGAGACTACTTCAGCATTACTACAAACACCTCGCAGTAAATACATACATACTGGCAGGATTTCTCAGAGCAAATGTGTAAGATTAGAGCATCACCCCATGGACATTGACAACCTGAGACTGTACCAAATTAAAGAGGAAAGAAAACAGTGTTGGTGCTCTTACACTTGGCGAAAAGACAGATTTATAACTTCTTCCTTTTAGTAATTAGCATACAGTCATTGTTTATTTTCAGGTTCTTTATTCATTCTGAAGTGTTTCAAGCAAAGGAAGAAGTATAAACTCTAATGCCATGCTGCCCAGATAAGTTCAGGACAGCAGCAGCAGGCACTACTGCTATGCTTTTCGTGCCTTTCAGGTGGATGCTGGCATTGTGTTTCTCCCTCCTTAAACTCTAGGTCTGTTCAGAGAAATAGAAGCCCCACCTTATCATAAAGCTCCAGTCCCAGAACCATTTGAAACAATACAAGACTGTAGAATTCTGTGCCTTTCAACTGTTTCCAATGGCACTTGCGTTGGGTGGTATTCCTCATGTCAGCAATAGTAGAAAAAGGAGAAATAAAAGTATTTAATAGCTGAGGTTAAAACATAGTTGATGGACAGTGACTGTATTCTGCTCAGGTCAGAGCAGTCTGAGGTCCCACAGGAGCACCTGTGTCTTTGCTCATTCTCTGTTTGACTCCACTTCAACATCACTGCCTTTTAACTTTACAGAAAATACACAACTGCCTGTTCTAACCAACTTCTCTAGTTATTCTTTTTGTGAGCTTTTAAAATACAAGGAGGTACCTAAGTTACCTTCACAATTCCAAATGTTCCAAATGGTTACTAAATATAACTGTCATTTACTGAGACTCTGCAATAAGTTTATTTGGTGTGGGTTAGCCTGCTTTATGTATCACCACAATACACAGATTTCAGAAAAAAACACATTAAATAAAGCCTTAAATGTAATAGAATGATGCAGGAATGTACTTGAAGAAGGAAGAGAGCATTTTCTAAACCAGTAAGACAGTAATTTCAGGTGTCAAGGCTTCTAATTCAGTGGAGCATTTATTCTTAGTCTTACCATCATTTATCATTTTCTGTACTGCCCTCCTCTAACTCTGATCTGCTTCACAGAATTACAAGTTAGATACAGACTTCAGGAAGTCAGAAGGCATTATGACCATAGAGAGTAACCCCTTCACCTGCTTGCTAGCTAATATTCTGCACTCTGTCCCTGAAGTCAGGTGATAACAGGTGATAAAGTGGGTAACACATTTCTTAAAACCTTTTTGTATTTAGCAACAGAAGGTCTGCCATTTCAATACTGTTTCTATAGATATTACTGAACCTTCAGTACCTCCAAAGCAAAAGCTATACCCAAAAGTACAGGCATGAACACATACTAAACTAATTAAGCAGTGACAAAAAAGTACATAGTTTTAATAAAGAGGAGGAAAAAAAGAACAGACAGGGTAGAAGTACAGCTGTGATGTAAGGTAGCTTAGTTCACCAGGAAATTTTCATCTACTTATAGAACCTTGTTTTTCCCAGACATAGGAAAATAACATTCTTGCTCTGAAGATAATTCTACTCCAGATCTTTAAATTACATTTCTTGTATATTGTTTTACTCAGTTCAAGTCACTTGTCTGTAATAAGACAGCATATCATCTAAACTTTGGTAAAGTGGTTCCTGTTCCTGATTTTGCTTGTCACCAGTGTATGTCTGCCCTGGAGGAGGTGCATCCTGAGCGCTGCAGTCACAGGCCTGCCCTGACTGTGCTGCATCCTGAGCGCTGCAGTCACAGGCCT